GTCCCTACCCGGTGTTTCGGCTGCAGCAATAATCCCTCCTTCTCCCCTCGGCGCATCTCTCCTGAAGTGCAGCAATCCAGCTTCTACGGCTACACGGGGCTGCTGCCCAAGCGCTACACGCAGGGGGTGATGACGGGCGAGAGTAAGTACCTGCACCCGCTGCCGGTGTCTGACTGCGTGGGCTTGCTCAGGGGGACCCTCCTGCACCCTCTCCTGGGGCCCAAGGCCATGCTGTCCCCAGCACAGTCTGGCCAGGTTGTCAGAAGATGGAGGACACCCCAACATGCTCCCCAGCAACCCGGGGTGTTTAATAGGCTATAAATCACTTGCAAAACCTGCTGTGCTGCCACACCAAGCTGAGGGTTGGGGGGTGTCTGCCAGGATCTGGCTCCGTTGCCCCAGAAAAATCACTGCTTGTAGCTCCTCCACATCTGGAGGCATCACCTCCATGCAGTGGGGGGCTGCTGAGGGTCCCCGAGCTGTTGGGCTCAGTAGGACCTGGTGCTGACAGCTCTCCCATGCCACCAGGCACTGCTGGGGTCATCATCTCGCTCAGCCGCATTTTCACCAAGCTGCTGCTGTCGGATGAGAAGGAGAACACGGTCATCTTCTTCTTCATTTCCATCGGCATGGAGCTGACGTGCTTCATCCTCCACCTCCTGGTGAAGCGCACCCGCTTCGTCCGCTACTACACCGCCTGCTCCCGCAAGGGTCTCCCTGAAACCCGGGGGGCTGGTGATCGTGGGACGGGCTACCGCGTCCACCACGATGTTACTTCGGAGGATGTCCGATTTGTAAGCCAGGGGTGGGTTTCCTTGATGGCCTCTGGGGTCCCTCTCCCCACCAGAGCTCAGCACTGGTGTCCCCTCTGCTCCATGTAGGAGAATCGGCCACGGGGGCAGCCGAGCTCTCCTCAGGGCAGTCCAGACCCTGAAGCTGAGCTGGCTGGCAGCGGCACCTACATGCGCTTTGACGTCCCTCGGCCCAAAATCAAGAGGAGCTGGCCCAGCTTCAGAGGTGGGTAGTTGGCTTGGGGGCTAAGCTCTATCAACAGGGTGGTTTTGCAGCATTTTGTGGGGCAGAATGAGTGATTCGTGGCCCAGGGCTTTGGGGAAGGGTCATCCTTTTCTCAGTGCGCCCAAAACCATGAGGCAATCACATCTTTGGAAGCCAGTGTTGGGGTGCAGGCAAGACTTTCAGGCTCTGCAAGGATAGTGCTGTGGATTTTGGCTGAGCTGTGCTCCCCATCCCTGCCAGACATGCTGCTCCACCGCTACGTCGTGTCCCGGCTCATCTGGGCCTACATGCTCTCCATCGCCATGACCTACTTCATCACGCTGTGCCTCTTTCCCGGGCTGGAGTCGGAGATCCACAACTGCACACTGGGGGAATGGCTCCCCATCCTCATCATGGCCATCTTCAACCTCTCCGACTTCGTCGGCAAGGTAGGAGAGAGGCCAACTCCACATGGTGGAGTGGATGCGTCCCTTCCGCTGTGCTTCCTTTTTGTGTCTTCTTTCTAAGCTGCTTGGCTCTACCAAGGGCCATCTCCACCCCATGGGTATCGAACTAGTGTGAGGTTACTCACTGGCATGCCTGAGGCTGGGCTCCTGCAGCAGATGGTCTTGCCACCATCTCATCTCCTTGCTGCCCCATTTTGGGCACCATGTTGCCCTCCCAATCCTCCCCCCACAGCATTCTCTCTGCTCCTTCCTGCAGATCCTGGCTGCCTTGCCCTACGACTGGAGAGGGACCCACCTCCTCATCTACTCCTGCCTCCGTGTGGTCTTCATCCCCCTCTTCATCATGTGTGTCTACCCCAATGGGAGGCCCACCTTTGGCCACCCCGCCTGGCCCTGCATCTTCTCCCTCCTCATGGGCATCACCAACGGCTACTTCGGCAGTGTCCCCATGATCCTGGCCGCCGGGAAAGTGAGCCCTGAGCAGCGTGAGCTGGCAGGTAGGACCAAGCCCTCCCGGGAATTCCATGCAGGGTGTCCCGCATACCATGACACCCCATGTCCCTTCCCACAGGGAACACCATGACTGTGTCCTACATGACAGGCTTGACGCTGGGCTCAGCCGTGGCATATTTTGCCTATAGCCTCACCAGTACGTCCCACAGTACCTGTTTCTACACCGAAACCTCCAACAGCTCCTTCACGTCAGGGTACTGAGCCCCAGGGCGGGGCGATGGGGACAGGATGGGACCTGCTTCCTACCGTGGTCTCCACCGCCCCGCTCAGCCCATGCCCTTCTTCGGGGAGGGTGCCCGGAGCCGGAAAGCTGCCCCGTGGTGGGCAGGGACCAGCATCCCGTTGGCATGGGGCCATGGCATCCCTGGGCCATGGCATCCCTGAACAGCCCATGCTGCCCAGCAAGAGCAACTTCTTGGGGTGACATTCCCCAACTTGGGGGGGACAGTCATGTTGCTCATGGGGGGGCTTCCCATCAGCAACGTGCAGCTCTCTGGTGGAAGGGGTGGGTCTTCTGTTTGAGCCAAGCCATTGCCAGGAGGAAGAAAATACTGCCAAATCCCAAAGGGAACAGGACCAGCGCTGGGGAGAAGGGTGATGGAGGGCTGGTGAGGAAGACGAGGAGCAAACGAGGAAGGAAATGCTCCTTCAGTCCCTGCTGGCTCTGGGAAGGTGGGTCTCAGCTTTCATTGATGGTGCTGCAGGTTTTCACCTGCACCTAGTGAGAGACCGGCTTGAAATCACGATCCCTCCCCAAATACACGAATTGCTGTGTGAAAGAGTCAATTCACTAAGGCTGGCTGGAAAAAACAAACAAACAAACAAACCACATTTTTTTTGTCGTGTCTTGTTTTTGCCACCCCGACTGCGAGAGAGGCAGGATCTTGCCTCCCCTCACCCCACACTGCGGGTCTGCCCCACTGCGGTCTCGAGGCCACAGCACTGCAGATGGCACCCGTGGGCAACTGCGGAACTTCAGGATTTATCGGAAGGGACATAAATGAAGCTGGCACCAGAGTAAATGTCTTTGCAACGATGCCTGGTCGTTAGCCATGTCACTGTCACTGTCACGGCGCTGGCACTGCAGGCACTCGGCTGCTGGCAACAGGCTGGGCTTGCAAACACATGTGGGGTGATGCCTTGTGCCTGTCCTGTGGCGTCTCGGGGGTGCCCCTTGTACTGCTCCCCATCTCCAGGGTCCCCTCTGTCACCTGGGGCAGCTGGATTTGCCACTGGGTCCCATCGAACCCCTCCCAGCCTGAAAACTGCTGCTGGAGTGCAAGACCTTTACAGACAGTAAGCGGGAGAGAGCCCCAGGCTGAGCGGAGCAGAAATCGTCTGGAGGAGGTGCCAACGCCAGAGGCTGCCGCGTTTCTGGGACCAGCTGCACCTCGCTGTGCCAGGAGTCGGTGGGTGCCACCTCCCGAGGAAGTGAAGTCCAAGGGCTGGCGTTGGCGGGAGCAGGGGGGCACCCCCGACCCAGCCTTTTTTCTCGCCCTGCCGAGCCCCCCAGCTGGGTGACATGCAGCTCACACCAAAAAGAGCAAATCCAGTGGTTCATCCTCCACACCTCATCCCTGCAGGGCTCGGGGTACTGGAGTCACCATGAGCACAGTCGCAGGGGAAGGACTCGCGCCTCCTGCCCCGGGGCCCCGGTGAAAAGAGACCTCCAGGGTCCCATCCGTCCGTCGGTGCCACCCCGCAGGGGGACTGTCGGACTGACGGGGTGTCCCCAAAAAGAGCCACATCTGCGCTGGGTCTTTCCCTGAACACGAGGCAGGGACTGAGCCAAAAAGTGACTGTTGCTACCAAGGGGAGAAAAACCCTGCAGTCAGGACAAGCGAGACAAAGAAAGATGCTTCATTGGATTGCTTTTTTTCAATTAATTTTTTTTTTTTTATGAAAAAAGATCACACAGAGTTCTCCAACAAACAGAAGGCCAAAAAATTGTTTTAAACAAAACATAAACAAAACAAAACAAAAAAAAAAAAGACAAAAACCTGGCTCTCCTTTCCTCTCGATTGTCTGAAATATCCTTGTGTTCCATAGAAGGCAGTGGGTTTTAAGTGCTTTCTATTTAACATTAGCATAAAATCTCTCTCGCGCGCTCTCTCTCTCTCGCTCTTTAAAATATGCTCACACAATTTGCTTCTAGAAGTACAGTACACTTTGAGCGTGGGGGGTGTGCCTGTTCCCAGATCATTTACAATCACAATCCAACAGGAAATAAAAAATAATATTCTAAACGTCAGACTGTGTTCATTTCTGTCGTTGTTTTTTTTCTTTTTTTTTATAGTTTCATAATTTTTTT